TACTTTACTTACCGAATGGACCCTATTTAAAGAAGTTTGGTTACCTCGTCTTTTATGAAGACGTGTTTGACCTCAGACTGGGGCCTCCCTTTTTGTTTTACCGGGTGGAATTTTGGGTCCAAGATTAGCTTTTGAGCGGTGATTCCCGGTGGGATCCCTGTCATGTCAAGATGGGACCAAGCGAAACAGTCTACGTTAGCTATAAGAAATTGAGCTTTATCCTGAGCTCGGGATATAACCCCGTGCCCAGGTATACCTTTCGTTCAGGAAGATATTCGATTAGTATGACTTGCTCCAGTTCTTCGATTATTGATTGGGTGGCGTTGGAATCATCGGGAACTACGAAAGATCGAGGGATCCTATGTTCATCATCTCAGTCAGTCTTCTGATTCTCTAATTGGGTCGAAGCCTACATTTGTAATTGCTATTTGGTATTCCATTCCTCCTTCGAATTCGATCCTTTTGCTCATGATAATGATGACATCAGAATCACTTCATCATTATCATTGCTGATGATAATGATGACGGCAAACATTTGTTTTGCGGCTAGTTGCTCCCCATCGACCGTTTTGATTCCCTCCGATGTTGGGAACTTCAAAACCTGGTGGAGGTTCGAGGGTACATACCTCATATTGTGGATCCATGGCCTTCCGAACAGGGCGTTGTATCTCATATCGCCTTCGATTACGTGGAACTTCGTTTCTTGGATGGTTTCAGCCATGTTAACTGGCAAGATTATTTCGCCCTTAGTAGTTTCACATGCCATGTTGAATCCGTTTAGTACCAAGGTTGCGGGCACGATCTGGTTCTGTAGACCGAATTGTTCTACGACCCTCGATCGAATGATGTTGGCCGAACTACCTGGATCAATTAACACACGTTTAACTTGAGTTTTATTCATAAGTACATATATTACCAGTGCATCGTTATGTGATTGCATGATTCCTCCTGCGTCTTCATTATTAAAGGACAAGGTTCCTTCAAGGGTGTAATCTTGAGTCCAGGATCGCTTTTCTCTTACAACCGTCATCTTAGTGCGTTTAAGCACCGGCCCCTGGGGGGTATCGATCCCACCAATGATCATGTGGATAATGTGTTATGGCTCTTCTTGTTCATTTTGTCTATTGAAATTCCTATTTTTGAAATGGTTTTTGGCCCTGTCACTTAAAAATTCTCGAAGCTGCCCTTTGTTAAATAGCCGAGCTACCTACTCTCTTAGTTACCTGCAATCTTTCGTTCTGTGGCCATGAGTGCCATGATATTCGCACATTTTATTGGGATTCCTCTGGGCAGGATCGGTCTGTATAGGTCGAGGCCATTTAGTGTCTTTGATGCGTCTGATAGCCGATACGATAGCGGATGCATTGATGCTGAAGTTATACTCTGATAACCGAGGAGCTTTCTTAGGTCAGGTATGCCTGTCGAACCCATTCCTGTTCATCAGCCCCCGAGACCCTTAGCCTCAATCATTTCTCTTTTTGCCTAGTACTGGGTTGCGTAAAGGTTCGCTACCCCTATGATCTCCGTTATACGATCGGTATTGATCCTTGTTTGACCTTGGTTCTCGGTCGATATCCCTTTTAAAACCGAACCCAGAACCCAACTGGTCGTCTTCGACTTTATTTTGGATTGATACCGATTGTGCACATCGGCCTAAGTAATAGCTGGGTACTCGATCAGGTTATGCTTCAGCCGCCGTGAAGCCATCGAGCTTCATTAGTTTAAACCTTGAGTGAAAGCTTGAACAACCCAATCATCTGTGACTGGTGGTAGATCCATTCGTTCCATATGGAAACGAGAAACGAATTCTCTTAGTATCTCGTTATCCCTTTGTCTTACCTTGAATAGGTCCGACTTCCTGGTCTCGACTTTTATGGCCCCAGCATGTGCTTTTACGAAAGAATATGAAAGCATAGCAAAAGAATCAATAGAGCTAGATGGTAAATTATGATACCATATCATAGCTCCCTTTTACAGGGTTTCACCGAATTTTTTCAATAATACAGATTCGATCTCATTTTCCTCTAGATCGTTCCCTTTGATGGCACATGTGTAAGAGGTGACATGTTCGTTGGGGTCGGTATGTCCATTATATTTAGGAATCTCGGGCATGCGAAACTGCTTTGGGATCGGTTTAGGAGCCGCGCTCGGGGGGAAAGGCTTTTGTATGATTTTTTTTGGAATCTAAGCCCTTCAATATCGGTGGTGCCCTCAGGATCTGATCTACCCTGGAGTTATATGTTTTCACTTTTTTGTCGTTTGCCTCGATCCTCCTTTCTCATAACTCTATTCGTTTTGTTAGTTCTTCGAGCATCTTAACAATTTCGGGATTACTCCCCGATTCTTGCTCATTTGACCTAACTATAGCTCCGTTTTGTGGGTGACTTCTTGGGGTGGACTGGGCTCGAGTCTGGTCGGTGCTTGGGTTTGGCTCTGCAACTGGGATATTGCTACTTGTTGAGCTTGCAACATCTACAAGATCATACGCAAACTGATTCTGTTTTCCTCAGTGTTTTGGGTATTTTGAGCTGCATAGCGAGTTCCACCATGAATGCTATTTTCAGGGTCGGAACGTTGGTTCGCCTCGATGGCCGCATGTGAATTGATGTCTATTGGCTCTTCGACCCGAGTTCCAACGGGATCGACGAGTGGCCTTCCGGACCCGGGGGTTAAGTTGTTGTTTTCATCTTGAAGGCGAGCTTCGTTGTCGATAGGTAGGGCCATTAATTGAGAATTCGTCGTTTCCAATCTGAAATCAAAGATACTTTCAAGAGCAATTGTAAAATGGTGTGTTATGTAGAGATTCGTACCAAACAACCACTGTTAGCCTTAGCCCCACGGTGGGTGCCAAACTGTTTACCCGAAAAACGGATAGAGTTGAATTTATACGCAATTCTAAGGATACGTGGTACAACTTGGTACAAATCGAAAAGTAAGTAGAAATATATCGAATATTGACTTGTAAAGAATGAAATACGAACCAATATTGAATTAGAAAGCGATTTTATAAACTAGCAAGATGAATCAATGTATAAAGCTCACAAGAGGATAATCACTACTGTATTTTTCTATCAATAGTAATATCTGAATATACGAGTGTATGTATGCCTGAATGTTGGATCCTTATAGAAATAATAGCCATCCCTCTTATAGTGGATGGATTCTACTTTGGATATAATTAAAAATACATAGTGGGGACCTATGATAAAATAGCTTTTCCCAAATTCCCGCCGAGATTCTCTCTCCTGAGTACGTCTGTAACCACTCTTGTCCCATGGCTCGATCTTGATCGGACTTGGTATTGGTTGGTTTCCAGATTTAGAGCCCGATATTGACTCGGGCTCGATATTGACTTGGGGCCCGGTATTGACTTGGGCTCGGTATTGGTCGGTCTCTGACTCTAAAGCTCGATAACGCCGCTTCGCATCATAGTTCGATTTGGATTCGAGCTCGGTAATGACTTCGAGTTCGGTATTTGATCGGTCTCAGAAATTTGAGCTCGGTAACCTGGTTTCGGATCTCATACCTGATATTACGAGGATGACCTTCGCTCCATCATGTTCCAATCTTGACTAATCATATGAAGGTCGAAATCGGTTTTGACCGCATACACATATTATTTTCATTCATAGGTTTTTAGTTGTGCAATTACTATGTCTAGCTCTTTGGTTTTTCTATTTGTTGTTGTAATTTTTCATTACATAGTTAATTGCCTCCCTAATTTTAATTGCCACCCTTGTTTTAGGCGGCTAACTAGACAAACAACTTCGCACCGCTAAATAACACTCTGCTGTCTATTCTTGAGCAAATTATATACGCACTTCAGCCTGGGTCTCAAAGGGAGAACTAACAGGAAATTCCTTATCTTTCAAAAAGGAGTCAAACTTCTCAATTTTTTATTCTTGATTGGGGACCTTGAAACATCTACCTAGGCAATTCTTGTAGTTACAGCATATGGCCATATGCAGCTTCCACTAAAGCAACAGCTTCGTGCATATTGCTACTTATAACATACGAGGATCTAACTTCATCTCATTAATCGGATCTTAAACTGATTTAGAATTCTGGTTATCATTTGCAAACTGCAAATTCAGTTCAAGTATAAGCAATTTCCATAAAGGTTTTTCCATTTCAAGGCGTCGAATTTGAGACTACAATTTAAGATTCGTTTACTCCTGCCCCATTGTCATTCCGAATTTCCAGTCTCATAGGCTCCAGTGGCACAACCGATGAAGAACCTTTACAATAGTAATTCGGAATAAGTCAAAATTTCGCACCATATATGATCCCTTCCTGCTTCTACCTACCAATTAGCAATTCTATTTCCTATTTCATCAGAAAGGAAAGAGAAGAAAATCCATAAGGTGCAACTAAGCATAGCAATTTGAGCCCAAACCCATTCGACCCGTCCAACCCGTCCAAGGTTGGGTTGTTCATTGACCCGAACTCAGCCCATCTTGACCCAAACTCATTTCAGTCCATCTAAAGTTCGACTGATTTTTAGCCGAAATTGATTCATGAGTAACTTTGCTAAAATATCTTTAAATATTTTTTTATTTGATATGTTATACATGACCATAACAAAAGAAAAAAAGTCTCATTTGATAATTAAACAATAGATAAGAAAATAATACACATTAATTAAAGATTGTTAAGAGTTGGACGGGTTGGGCTATGACCCAAATTTTAGCTCAATTTGACCCAGCTCATCTCGGCCCAAGTTACTTTTGTACGCCTATTTGTTGAGTCAACCCATTTCCCAAAATTCGCCTAACCCGCCCATTTGACACCCCTGGTACCAACTGTTATTGAAATGTACAAAGATTCCTTCTTGATCAATACTATCTTAGTAGTAGGTAACCGAAAACGACATAGGTCTTATGGGGTATGTCTATTAGGACGTTTAACCTGGAACAATACCTTCCTTCCAATATCTACCATTATCCCTCCGCCCCAATCACATTTCCAACAATTGAATTATTATAAGACCTGGCGCAATATCATTATAAAATTAAGTTTCATTTCATTTCTTTTTCTGAATATATCTTGGCTTAAAATGATATAGTTCGCTAAATGTGTGTCCACTGATCCACCAAATTTGGGGTCAAGCACCAAAGAATACATTGATTAAGCAGAGTTCAAGTGGAAGAGAATTATGCAGAGCCATTGCACTTTGGACCATACCTCTCAACCCTCTCATCAATCCAAGCTCTCATATCAGCTAAAACAAGATTGGCTGCATCATCAGGCTCACCTTGAATCAAAGAATGATACATTCCATCATAAAGCTTGAGGGATTTGTCCGTGCTGCTTGCCTTCTCGTACAACAATTCCGAGCCTGTAGGGCAAGTAACACCATCAGAAGTCCCATGCACTGTCAAAAATGGAGCAGTGACCTTGTGGAAATTGTTCTGGACGTATTCACACTGCCTGGCTATCTCCCTCATAGTTCCCACTCTTGGCTTCCCGGTATATCTCCGTGGATTGCTTGCGATTATTTTCAGTTTCTCAGTGTCTCTTATAGCCTTGCCCACCATTTTGTTGTCTGGCATTGCCGCCCATGTATCAGCGAATCCAAATAGCAGTCCATACATGAATAAGTGTACCTACATGTTAAACAGTAAAGGTGATTGGTACTCCCTCCTCCAAAAACTATAATCCCCTTCATATCCGAAGAGTTAAATGAAGAAATTTTAGTCATGATTTTCAAATATCACATGTTATCATTTAACATAAGAACTTTCTAGAATCCAAATTCTATTCTCAAAATGTTTAATATGTATAATTCAAGACTGACAAATTGATCAAAGTGGCCAAAGCGAAAAGCAGGTATAATGTAACATGATGGTAGTAGGTACACACCATGAAAAGAGAGAAATGAGAACTCTAAAGAGGATCAAGTCGTCTAATCTGAAACATTTTGCGAGAAATATGGGAGCCTCACAACGGCAGGCCCAGGAATACCTTCTAAAAAACAAAAAGAAATATGGAAATAAGTTCTTCTTTCTATTTCTAAAGAGACATAGATGATGGTTTTGCTTAAGAGTGAAAATTGTTTTTTTCCGGGGGGGTGGGGATTAATAAAAAACAGAATTTGTTACCTTATTCTTATACTACTTTTTATGTCTGTTACTTGCAGAAAGATTGATATCTTTCTAATTTAGAAAATATTTAATTTTTACATTTTTATCTAGCCATTACCAACATGTTCTCATGAGAATTAACACATGATCTCATCAGAAGTTCTACTAAATACAAAAATAACTACTTTAGTATCTGTGTCAATTTTTTTTCCTTTATAAACTCCCGAAGGTTAGTTGCTCTTAGATTAGTCTCTCCCGAAAAAAAAATTTCCTTTATAAACTACTTCATAAATTAGTCTCTCTTAGATCAGTATTTCTAGAGAAGCTCATGTTTTTATATTACTCTATCACTCACTTGAATTTCAAAATGCTTTATCCATTTCAAAGCGGATAAAGCATTTTGAAAAAAAACAATTTCAAAAAAAAAGAAACAATTTCAAAATGCTTTATCCTCTTTGAAGTGGATTCTAACCAGTCACAACAAAATTTTGGTCCGATGCTCTAACTAGCTGAGCTACGTGAACCTCCGTCATAAAGTTTGTTATATTGAACAAATTGACCCTAACCTAAGGGAGAAGCAATTTTGGGTCCACGCGCAAAGCTCATTAAAATCTAACATCGAATCGAAAATTTTCTGGATTACTATGTAGAATAAATCATCATAGTATGAGCAGACAAGAATTACTTTATTTACTCGTACTGATTATATAGCAACAAAAATATGCTGCAACACGGCAAAATACACATCCTTCTAAGCAAATCAACCCAAAACTACTGACAAACAATTAAACAGAAGAGTAATCAAAACTAACCTTAGAAGGTTTCATAGGCTCAGGAATGACAAAAAGCGGGGCAGAGAAGATCAATCCGGTCCAAGTATCCGGCTCCGACTGGAAGTACATAAGCAAAGTAGCTAACCCACCCATAGATTCTCCGAACAAAAACGCCGGCAAATGCTTATACTCATCACTATTCCTCACGCTCTTAAAATAGTACAAGGAAGCAGCAGCAGTCTTCTCCAAATCTCCCATGTAACATCGGATCCCATCGGACCGGCCATGTCCGAGCAGATCAGCAGCAAAAACAGCATAACCCCAATTAGCGTAGTTAATACATATCTTCTGAAAAAGCCAACCGGTATCGGAACCGTAGCCATGGGTCATGTAAACAGTGCCCTTAGGGGATATATTTGGGTCAAGTGGGAGAAATGATTGAGTGAAGAGCTTGCCGTTGGGTGTTTCGAAGTAAGATTTTGAGTTGCGTACGCCTTCAGAGGCATAGTACTCTTCCTCCGGCATGTCGCCCCAAAAGTTAGCTGTGGTTGCGGGCACGTCTGACGCCATTTTCCGGTGGCTTTGAACGGCGGACGTGGAGTTGTTGGGCGGGTAATCGGATTTGGTATGAAATTTATGTAGTGATTGGGGTTTTTATATAATGGTAGTTATGTATAAATTCGTTTTTCAACTAAAATGGTATTTTAAATAATTTTACACATGAAGTTGGCGTCTCAATGATATAGGAAGCTGTTTCACCAACCATCTATTTTTCTTTTCTTTTCGGTTAGTTTCAACAGAAAATTGAGTTTGTGGGCCCAGCTTAGGGGGTTGGTGAAGGGAGTAGGTGAGCAAACTAATCTTCTTCTAACTCAGTTAATGTGAGATATATTTAATTAAAATCAATCTCTCTTTCAAATAGATTAGATATTCTTTTCCTAAATTAGTTGGGATAAATTCGATTTTTCGAGCAAAAACTTAGGAAAAGGTTTTGGGTGAAAATCATTTACATTCGCCAAGTTTATTTTAAAAATCAAACTCATCCTCCAACTTTAAACAATTATCATTTTACTCCTCATATCAAAGGTGACTTCTTAAAATGCCTATTTTACCGTCTACAACTTTTATCTCTTATTTTTAATCTTTAATATAATGATTTTTTTATTTTAATTTATGTTATCGACTTACCTATAGATAAATTAAAAAAACTTTTTTGAAACTAAAAAAAGTGAGAAGTAGTAGTCAAGCAAATAAGTTAATGATGTTCAATAGTGAAGTAAATGAGAAAAATTATAATAAATAATTTACTTGTATCCGTAATTTTTTCTAATAGCAATCAAAACTCAATCTATTTACAAAATTGAGAATAAAAGAGAGTGAAAAGTTTATAAATTATACAATGCAGGAAATAAAAAAAAGGACAAAAAATAGAGGTAAGTTTTATAATAAATTTGCAAAAATTATCTATTTACACTTTACATGAACTTTAATTATAATTAGAAAAATATCTAGTAATAATAATCAAAACTCAAAAATTTATATACACATAGAGAATAATAAAAATAGTTGAACTTAAAATCTCACACACACACCGACATACATTATATGTATTTAAATATACATAATATTAAAATAATAATAATAATACTAATAATAAAGTAGCAATATATTTTGTAATAAATTCATAATATAATTATTTTATTTATAATGTTAGTGAACTTGGATTAAATTATATAATAGATATAATATTTTAACTTATGAATAAATACATGCATTGAAAATATCTAAATAATATAAAATAAAATAAAAAGATATTACATATATGGAGAGTTGAAAATGTCAAGGGTAAAATAGATATTGTGTAGGATAAAAGGATGAAAATGACAATTGTTTAAAATTGAAGGATGAATTTAATTTTTAGAGGTAAACGATTTTCACCCAAAAGTTTTTTATTATAGAAATTATAAAGTAGTAAAATTACTTATACTATCAATATGTTAGTAGCTTTATATGTACTTTCGTTTTATTATTTCTTAATTAGAATAGAAGCTTCTATACTAAATGAAGTTTCAACAGGTCAATATTATACAGAGTAAAATATAATGTTCAAGTTTACATAAAGTTTTCAAGTAGAACATATTTAAAAATGATATCAACGAACTGTGTACAAGATTAAAAAAAAATACATTTGTCTCTTGACAATAAGGGGAGTTATTTTTTAACCTGAATTTTGTCTCTTGCATTTTTTGTCTCTTGTCCTAAAGGTACCTTTGGGATTAAGCATAGTGGAGTCCTCTTAACTTGGTCCTCTCTCTCATTTTACTTTTTGGGTTTTGGCTGTTGAAATAAGAGGAGAGTTTTCACATTCCTCTTCGAAACAAATTTTCTTAAACAACAACAGCAACATACCCAGTAATATCCTATACCGTGAGATCTGAGAGGGTAGTGTGTACGCAGACCTTACCCCTAACTTGTGAGAATAGAGAGGTTGTTTCCAATAGACCCCCGGCTCAGAAAAGTATAAGCACCACATTAATGAAAATATAGATAAGAAGAGACAGTATCAAAAAGTTATATAAAAGCAAAATAAAAACAATAATATAGTAAGATAATCAACAATGAAAAAAAAACCGTCAATAGTGAACACTACCTATTACCTAACTATATGCAATGGAATCATAAACACGTTTCTAGCACGAAATTATGGAAAGTTAGTAGGTGAGGAGTATAAATCAATATATTATATATTGTGGCAATTTGAAAGATCAGATTGAATGATCTGTAACATTGGGAATTTTATAGAACTACTGGAATCATGTAACACACGAAAAACTGGAGCGTGCAACCTACAAATTATTTACTAGAGATGGTAATGTGTGAATGCAGATCCAGCAAGTCAACAGCCCGCAGTTAGAAGTTAGAACATTAATATGTTTTTTATACATACGAAAGGTTGGTGAAACACATATAAGGAAAGGGATCCCAAATTCTGTTTAAACATATTCATGCTCGTGGG